CTTTTTCCAGTCATCCGCTGCCCCTCCCTGATCAAACCTCCAGACTCTGTACTCCTTGTTGGCATTGAAAGCCATGTAACGGTCATCCCACTCGTTGGTTGTGAAGAGATGATACGACTTGTATCCCCAATCTTTCACCAGCAGTTTGCTGGCTTCCACAAGGGGCATTTGGTGAACGATGGGGATACCCAACCCGCGGTTCGCCCCGCAAACGCCAACCGCCTTCGGGTTTAGTTCGAATTGCTGTAAATACGCTCAGAGGCCGCCTATCGTACTTGTTGTTTAATGGGTTCCATGCATTGTCCTGTGGGAGCGGGACGCTGATTTCTTTAAGGATACTTCCTGACCTGGTAGTACACGCGGAACTTGAACACAGACTGACTCAGCGTCCACTGCGGTGTCGGTCAATGTCACACCACACCCCGCTGTAAGCACCACACGGGCGGTTGAGTTGATTCTGCCAGAACTGCATCGGGTTGTTGAACCAAGCATGAACTACCTTAGCTTAGTCACCGAAAATTTATACAGGCTGAACACATCTAAAAGCTGGGCGTTGAAATACATCCCATCAGCAACCGCGATCTTCATGGGTGAGAAATCTATGTCCAGTTTAGGGTAAAACACTCCAGGGAGTAAGACACTCCTTGGCAGGATACTCCCTCCTTGGGAATACATTTTAAAACTATTATATAATGAGCATATATACTCTAACATGTACATAACACTTCCAGGAATAACGAGCGGTGAGGCCATGCAGCTGACGACGCGATCGATAATACGTCCGTCAACTCAAGTCGCGACTCTGCGATATCACCTACCTACCGCAATGGACTAACATCAACGCCAGCAACAATAAGCTGTTCGTTAGTGGAACTCGCAGCCAGATAACTGACGGCTACTACAGCGCAGTGCTCGCTAAGCGATGAGGTCTTCAAACCCCTGGGCCGCCTAACTCAAGATGAACGACTCAAACGGCACAGTGGTGTTAATCAACAACGGAAGAAACTCCTTGAGGCTCGGCCGCCATTGGCGAAGACACTCGGTATGTCACCTGACGAGATAAAACCAACAACAACCGCCACAGGCATCGAAGTTACCCGACCTAGTACCGCATCGAGAGCTGTACATTCATCTAGGTCAGGTGAGCACAACGCATAACATTCAAGGGGTCACCCTTCCACTATACTGAGAGCCGTGCCGGTGAAAACGGAGAAATACAACGACGGTAGAACCGAAGTCGTTTTCACCGCGCAGTATAAGAGGTTGACTCAGGGCAACATACCTGAGCTGATAATATCGGTGTTAGATATAAATCATAATCCCGCGAATATAGGATACCTCAGCTTAACGCTTCACATAAAATGACTAGCGCATCAAGGGCCCGGGTGAAAAATGCGTCCAATGTCGGATCTCCGACCGGGACACACGCGGTTTCGACGCCCCGAGTAGATGGTAAATTGTACGCCTTTGCAACTGAAAACAACATTTACAAACGCTGTTGAAGTCCCCTCCGGTGGAGCCCTAGGTGATATAGTAGATACCGCAAGAGCGATAGTCAACACTAAGTACACCCTTGTCAACACCGGTGATGATAACTGGATAATATACCCATCGTTCGGGGGTAAGCTGTTCGACTTAGACGATGTTGAGAGCACTACCGTCGCCCGAAACAAGCCATATACACTTGTCTTCACCGAAGATGACAAGTGGGTGTTGTTACCCGATAAAGACGACTGGTTTCTCAATATTAGACTCTGCTCCCCCTACGTGTTCACGGATAATAAAGACAACCACCTAAACAAAGTCGCTAACAACGAACCCTGCTCGTGGCTTTACGCCCCGACTCAGAGACGAAGCGTGAGCTATCAGCCCAGTCGCCAGTATGGCGCCCATATGCTATCGAGTAAACCCGAGAGCAAAACGTGACATTGCAGTTGGTGTCTGAATTCGAAGGTGTGGTCAGGATACTGGAAAGTCTACCGGCAAACTCAACACTGATCATCAAAGTCTACCTAGGGGAACCATCGCGGGGTGATGTCGAGATCATGAAGGGGATCAAACTCGGGTGGGTGAAACGACACCAGTATCAAGTTTGCAACGCTTACGCATGCGGTGGGTGTCGGCTCCAACACCAGTCTGCAGGGTGTCACCGCGATCGCGGAAAACACGATATCACTAACCAAGATCTTCCTACCTGACAACATACACTTCATGGGGATTAAGTTCACCCCTGAACTATTATCGGAAAACCAGTTGGAAATTATCTCGTAATAGTATTATAGCAATGACCAGTCATCACCCCAACACTACACTTAACGACCTAGGGGACACGGAGGGATTCGATCAGCCTGGTGAGGAAGGCTCATACGTCCTACACTTGAAAGACAACGTATAGGCGGGCAGCATTGGTCGATCATCTACCCAAGCCCACACTCGAGGGCCTAGGGGACACGGAGGGATTTGATCAACCTGGTGACGACATATACCTCCTACACTTGAAAGACAACGTGTATAGGCGGGTGCCGTTATTTTATTTTAAAGAGCCTGAATGGTTACTCAACTTAACCCTCGCCTCACCTTATATCTCATTAGACAAAGATGGTTATGTCTCTGAAATTAAGAACAACGGTACCTTGATCACGCCTTTCATTCCAACTGGAAAAGTGATACTTTCTGACTCCGAATATTTACCTAGGGACACCCTGTTAATTTCCCCAGGCAATCCCAGTTAATAGCCACCCACCATCATAACATAGTAGGGTTAGGGCTATGGAACCAGGCTCCACACTCATCGTAGAAGTCGCTCACAAGGGTAAGTTTGATTCGAATGAACATATCCCATCCCCAAACTTGCAGATTTTACCCGGTGTAACAATACGCTGGAGTGACTTAACTGTAGGAAGTGGTTTTACACGCTGCAGATTCGTTATACGATTTGAAGCTCCCAACAGGGATTACTACCCCCAATAATATACTGCTTTGGCGTTGAGATATACCAAAAGTTACCTATTGAACCTTCCCTTATCTACATATACGAGAATCTCAGTTTTATAAACCTCAGGTACATTGACCGACAACTAAATGAAACTCAATTAAAATATCTTTTGTAATATATATTATAGGATGGGCCTGTACCCAGTCGTAGAGGAAGTAGCGAAGACCCTGGAAACCGTAGACGGGTTCCGTTTGAGGCAGTTATGTGATGTGAAACGCCAACTAGAACAAGACCGCGACACGCGGAAAGCACTGTGTAAGAAGTACCATAGAGCTTTCAATATCGTGGACGGGGCTGATACTGCCCTTATGGCAACCAGCATGGGGCTGGGAGCGGCAGGTGTTGGGTTGTTAGCTACCATCGTGGCTACCCCCGTAGTGCTAGGCATTGAAATAACAGCTGGGGTGGCAGGGGTGTTAGGGTTGGCGCTTAAGTTGGCATCACGCAGACTTCATCGTAAGGCATTGAAACACGACGAGATCAGGGTTCTGGCCGAAGCAAAACTGAACACAGTAAGTGAGCGTATTTCCACGGCACTTACTGACAGTAAGATCTCAGAGGAGGAGTTTAGTTCAATCCTCTCTGAACTCACAAAATATAACAAAATGAAACAAGAGATTCGATCCAAGTCTCGTAAGTCTACTATCAGCGAGGATGAGAAAAAAAAGTACATAGAACAAGGGGTGAAAAAAGCCCGGCAAGCCTTTATTACAAACACCAAGGAGATCATAGGCGATTCACATTAAACTGTTTCATCGAGGTAAACATGGCATAGCGGCACGTTAGACGCAGCCCATACAATCCCAGGATACCAACACACTCCAGCCATGCCCCCGGCGCGGCTAGGAGGCCCCCCAAACTTTTTCATAGTAGGGGTAATGGTAGCAAGAGCTAAGGGCCCGACCAAAGCCTTACTTGTGAAATAAGGCTTTGCAGAGGCTTTGGTTGAAAGTGGTCCAGAACCCCCATTGTATATACTACTTCATGACTAAGCTAAATAACTTTTTCAACTATATTATAGATCTACTTTTAGAAAAAAAATATGTTGGGCTAAACAGAGCGGTTTGCAGATTCTGTAATTACTACCGCTAAATTTGAAACAGTACAAATTTCTAAATATCATTTTGTTTGAACTGATAACCCAACTGTTTATTTATGTGGACGGAAAGGATTCAAATTTCTTCGGTGTTCGATGTTAATGCATCCTCCATTACCGGATCAAGATCAGTGGCGATATCGTTGACGAAAGCTGATAATAAATTTAACACGGAAATTATGTAGCAGTCTATTGCTGGATCTATTCTGACATAACATAGAATCAACGTAAACATATTTGTTCTTGCTGAATTTTTATTCGGAAAGCAGACGATGTTTTGATCTTGTTCGACTGAATATTTGTTTCCATGCTTTCGAAGAACTTTTGTATGTATAAACACCTATTGCTGTGATTTGCGCAAGTAGTGAGTCAAGCCCGTCATCGCTAAATCCATCTTTAAAGACATATGTGTAATTTCCGACAGCAAAATCGCCGTAATTTATCGATGCATCGGTAGGTTGTTTGGTGTCCGCCAAAAATAGTGCATTACCGTAAACCATGTATAATTGCGCACGGAAAATCAGAGACCAGTATAACGTGATTATATACCTCTGAATGACTTTAATTAACCAATCACAATCCAGTGTTTACTGAAGTCATGGTAGAATGGAGAGAGTGACAGTATAATGGAGAGAATGACTGTATAATGGAGAGGGTGACAGTATAATGGAGAGAGTGACAGTATAATGGAGAGAGTGACAGTATATGACAGTATAATGGAGAGAGTCACATGCAGCCTGTAGTCACCCGGTCAAATCTTGTTTGTGTTACTCGATAAACAGTGTGACAAATGTTCAGTGAGCAAGGAATTCCCTTGAAATACCTTGGCTGGATGTAGAATAGCTAGTAAACGAACCAATCTTCATCTTGACATTGACTCCTAGTGATAAAGGTCAGGTCTTGTTTCAGAGCTCATGAGCAGGGTCCCACAGCCAACATTTGACTTCCATGTGGTTGAGCAAGAGGAAGCTGTGAAGGAGGCCAAGCAGGTATACACTCAGGTCTCACTGCTTCTCCAGATGTGGCCATAGAAAGTACAAGCTGATTTGCTACTAGAATTTTTAGGGACTTGAAATACTTTTATCTGCAATTATCTGTTTCTTGGTATTTGTCAACTTTATAAACCTAATATTTCATGTATTGCATATCTGCTAGCTGCTAACTACTCTCAAAGATGAGTTTGAATGAAATTTAGAACATATATCCTTCATGTTCCTGGCATTATGCACTGCACCAAACACCACCTTCGTACAAGTGTGCAGGACACCCAAACACCACCTTCGTACAAGTGTGAAGGACACCCAAACACCACCTTCGTACAAGTGTGCAGGACACCCAAACACCACCTTCATACAAGTGTGCAGGACACCCAAACACCACCTTCATACAAGTGTGCAGGACACCCAAACTCCACCTTCATACAAGTGTGCAGGACACCCAAACACCACCTTCATACAAGTGTGCAGGACACCGTAACACCACCTTCATGCAAGTGTGCAGGACACCCAAACACCACCTTCATACAAGTGTGAAGGACACCCAAACACCACCTTCGTACAAGTGTGAAGGACACCCAAACACCACCTTCGTACAAGTGTGCAGGACACCCAAACACCACCATCGTGCAAGTGTGCAGGACACCCAAACACACCTTCATACAAGTGTGCAGGACACCCAAGCACCACCTTCATGCAAGTGTGAAGGACACCCAAACATCACTTTCGTGCAAGTGTGCAAGACATCCAAACACCACCTTCGTGCAAGTGTGCAGGACACCCAAACACCACCTTCCTGCAATTGTGCAGGAAACCCAAACACCACCTTCGCAAGTGTGCAGGACACCCAAACATCAGCTTCGTACAAGTGTGAAGGACACCCAAACACCACCTTCGTGCAATTGTGCAGGAAACCCAAACACCACCTTCGTACAAGTGTGCAGGACACCCAAAAACCACCTTCGTACAAGTGTGCAGGACACCCTGTGTGAGCCGTGCACCTTGCCTAGTGCCCTTCCTGAGTATGACTGAGTGAAGGCTTCAGTTGCATAGAGAAAATTTATCAATACTGTCAATGTATTCTTTTCTTTTGTTTTGGTTTCCTGTTTAGTCAGGCACAACTTTGTCCCCAGTGGACTGTCGGAAGAGAAAGTGCAAGCGTAAAATTTTACGCTCGAACCCCCACATTGATTCTCTGTGGATCCTGATACAATGAATGCAGAGGTGGAGATGAAGGAGTTCAAATCTTTGAAGGGCATTTAGAAGTGGAATACATAAGAAAAGCAAGATTTATGGATGTCAACTTCTTTATTGTGAATAACACCACATTTCGGTGTGTATGCTTGCTCCTTCATCACAGATTGACTGGATCAAGCCTCAACCCAGTGCTCACTTTGGAGAAGGAATCTGATTCATTCCTTCCTTTGGATATCTACATCACATCACCCGCCAGCCCGGCTTCTATTGTCACTACAGTGGGATGTGACTAGTTGAGCACACAAGGTCAGATGACCTGTTCCTCCAAGAAAGCAAGACGGTTTAGTTCAACCTATAACGTTGTACATCAGGATCCTGCTAACAAGGTTCAATTATGCTCCTTGTGTTGGCATTTGACATTCACGATAGATCATACCAACTGTCCAAAGGATCAGTGGTCGACCAGGGAGCAGTCAGTAGGATTGGTAGGTTGTATTCAGGATTATATTAATGTTCAACTGAATAATCAATCAACTGTGGATCAATAGCATCTGACAATCTACTTCAGCATCATATGAATGATCGTGAAGATCAACAGTTGGTTCAGGAGCTTACGATATAGTCGGACAATTACCATTTGGATTGGATCTGCTGTTAGATCATAAGCAGTCAATGGGAAAAGACAGTCACCACTGGGATCATATTAACTATCAATAAGATTGACAATTAACTTTAGGAAAGTATGAATGTTCCAACAGGTTATGACTAGAGAGTAATGGATAGGATAGGAGTATAAGGACAATCAATTTTGGGATTGTACAAATGTTTGAGGGGTCAACAGTCAATTCAAGAGCACGCTATAGGATTAGATGATCACTGGAGGGGTTTTTGAACCAACTGATCGGCAATTGGATCAAGAATGATTGACGGAAAAGGACATTAGCTTCAGGAACAATAACAGGGATCAAGAATTAATTCAGGAACAGTCAGCAGGAGGGGGCGTTTTCCAACATTCAGGCCTGGAACACTTAACAGCATCTGTTCATCTCTTCAGAAATCGGGTAGTCTGCAAGAATGGTCATTTTTCATTGAACAGAACACTTACGAACACCATATGTGTTCTAGTCGGATCCTTTGTCCATGCTTGAATTTACACTTTACTTAGCCTAGATGCTAGCGCCTAGAGGTGCCAAACTGGTGGAATCTCCCGCAAGTGTAAATCATCTCTGTATCTTAAGGCGATGTGTATGGTGTCTGTCCACAAACACTGCTCTTGTTGTTAGTGGGTGATGGGTAGGGACAAGGAATGACACCAGCACTTGCTCTCGCTATGTTTCAGTCTTCATGTAACAAGAAGTCTGTCATTTACATGTCAACAGCAGCCTTTCAGCGATCGCGGATCAGAGACACTGTCTTTGTCTCCTGCTACTTGAAAAACACATGTCAGTCACATACCAGTGTGCAAGGAAAGAAACAGTTCAGACGTTGGTTTAGGCCCAGCAGGTGACCTCAGTCTATCAACACAGGTAGGCTCCTCGGTGTGTCTTTCCTTGTATGTACTTAATAAACAATTGTTGAAGTGTTTACTTGGTGTGTTTATCTTAATTTGCATTTTGAGATTCATGTAAAGATGAGATTTCTGGTGGGATATGCCTTTTTGCCTCCAACTAGAATTCACGTCACTGTGTGGTCATTCTGCTTGCTTTTTGTGAAGTGTTGTTAGTGTATGGAGTTTTTCTATTTGCTATTGTCGACTTTCTTGCGTTATCAAGTTAGCTTAATAATAGTTGGTTCGAGGATGCAATTTACAGGGGAAGTGTCTTGAAGAATATCTATAAGGTTAACTCCTTCAGAGATGTAATTTAAAGGCAAGAGTGCAAACTTGTGCCTTACTGTAAATCTCCATCAACCCCTTCACTACAAGGTTAACCTTGGAAGTTACTACTGGAATAAACATGTGCCTTATTGTAAATGTCCATCAACCCCTTCACTACAAGGTTAACCTTGGAAGTTACTACTGGAATAAACATGTGCCTTATTGTAAATGTCCATCAACCCCTTCACTACAAGGTTAACCTTGGAAGTTACTACTGGAATAAACATGTGCCTTATTGTAAATGTCCATCAACCCCTTCACTACAAGGTTAACCTTGGAAGTTACTACTGGAATAAACATGTGCCTTATTGTAAATGTCCATCAACCCCTTCACTACTTATTTTGATGACTAAAGAGATTTACACGAAAGTTCAAATTTTACTTATTTTCTGAAAATAAAACCTTCAGCATAGTGATGTCAGCATCAAATAAGTGTGCAACCCTAACCTTGCACAGCAGGGGGTCAGGCGAGTGGGGAGGGAGTCATTTACCCAGCCTGCCTGAAATATGAAACACTGAATGAAACTTTTAACACACTCACAGGCTAGTTTCTATGGAAACGCACCTCCTCTGGCCACCTGACAGATACAGTGCAAAAATAAAATCTGGATTTGAAAAAGTGAAATATATTTTCAAAATGTATGTTTTGTAGACTGTCTGCATCTGTACTTCTTGCTGTGAGTCTTCACAAAATACTTCTTTATACTATGGCTTAATATCATCCTGAACCGAAAGGTCAAGTTTGGGATGTTTCATGGAATACTGCTTTCATTTGCATTGAAAGACAACTTTGACCAGGTTTAAACCCTGTCATTTAAGTCACTGTTGGATGTGGTAGTGCGGTAGCCTAGTGGTTAAAGTGTTCGCCCAGGATTCGATTCCCCACATGGGTACAATGTGTGAATCTCTTTTCTGGTGCTGAAAGCGATGTAAAATCATACTCACTCACTGTTGGCCATTGTGGGAATCACACAGTGATTTTGTGATGATATGTTATGTTGTTATCATTCGTTGAATTTTCTGTCTTGAGTTGACTATACAATTACAAAGGGCTGTATACCTCCAAACACTAGGTGTTTGTACTTGCGAATGCTGGACTCTGTCCTTCCATTTGGGGTTTGAACAAGGTGGATATTGTCCTCCTTGTGTATGTCTGACAGTCACACATTGTCTTGGAATCTGTCCCCACCATGGGATCCAAGCAGACCCTATGTCAGATTCCTTGGCAACAGAAAGAAGAGAATGCTCCATGCTTGTGTTGTGGCCTAATATCAATGGGTTGTATTTGTGTGAGGTGTAACATTGTAGGGAACTTGAAAGATACATGTTCTAAATTTTGTTTCTATGTAGCAGCAAGAGCAGTCAGTAGAAATGCAATTTACGAGAAAGAATGTCTGTTCCAAATATCAAATTTACTTGAAATCCATAAGTTCACAGAGTGACATCTTGAATCAACAAAACTGGAAGTTTCGATAAGAGTCTGGCAATATAGTCCCGATAATGCCTTTATGACTTTGATAGTTTTAATGACTTAACTAATGTCTGATTTGTGTATCAGTTGTTAATTAATTTACTGCATTGTGAGAGGTGATGACAATGTTTCTGTGTTCATGATCAGACTCCTACAGCAGTGGTACCTATTGTCACCAGTACTCCAGACTCCAAACGTGGCCGCGAACCATTGCTGCCGGTAGGTCAATGACCCCTTGCTTTTCTCCCTGCAGTAATTGACTCAGGGTTAATACTAGAAAATTTCAATTACTGGCTGGGTGAAAGATAATTTCATCAGAAACATGTACTCCAATTTTTAATGCAAAAGTATTTATGATTATATTTAAATCACGAAAACAGTTTCTGTTTTCTGAGCTTCGGCCATTCTGCATATTTCGCTGGAACTCACATGACCTTTCCACTTGTGATGTCATATCTGACTAAAGTCAGCCATATTGTCTAAGACTAACTGCTACATTAATACAAATCATATTTTGTCTGTCATTTTTGTAAATGGAACGAATGTGTATTGTGTTTCCTAGTGGTGCACGGTGTCATCGACCAAAGGAAAGAACCACCATTTCTTCTGTTTTCCAAGTGAAAAGACAAATTTAGACAGGGGAAATGTTCTGATCATTTTGAGTTGGATGCATATGAAAGTTACCCATTTAGCCTTGCACACATGGGATTTCAAAATCCAAAAGCTAGGATTTTTTAACATTGACTAAATCAAGTCTGATTATGATGAAATATACATTATCAAAATCAGTAAGAGGTTTCACCCTGGCTTGAAAATGTTTCACTATAATGTTGATTCGGATCACCAAATACTGCAGTTTACACAAATGATGAAGTACCTGAAGATCCTAATTTTTTTCAACAAATTAATTCCTTGCAACTGCAATTTTTGTAGCAAACAGTTTATATTTCTAAATGATCTAGCATCCATGTCAGAAATGTCCGGGGTTTCCGTATTAGGCGGAAATGTCAGTAAGTTTTTTTATGTGTGTATTTTATGTGTGCAATTTTACAAACTTTTTTAATGCCTTTACCCCTATGAAAATGGTTGTTGTTTTTTGTGGTAGTATTCCCCTTTAAATGCTTGTCTCCTCACTATGTTTGAAGGGTTAAAAAGTTATAGAGTATACTAATAGTATGCTTGACCTCTCACAATGTTTCAAGGGCTGGATAGTTATAGAGTATACCATGCTTGTCTTCTCACAATGTTTCAAGGGTTAGATAGTTATAGAGTATACCATGCTTGTCTTCTCACAGTGTTTCAAGGGTTAGATAGTTATAGAGTATACCATGCTTGTTTCCTCACAATGTTTCAAGGGCTGGATAGTTATAGAGTATACCATGCTTGTCTTCTCACAATGTTTCAAGGGTTAGATAGTTATAGAGTATACCATGCTTGTTTCCTCACAATGTTTCAAGGGTTGGATAGTTATAGAGTATACCATGCTTGTCTTCTCACTGTGTTTCAAGGGTTAGATAGTTATAGAGTATACCATGCTTGTCTTCTCTCACAGTGTTTCAAGGGTTAGATAGTTATAGAGTATACCATGCTTGTCTCCTCACAATGTTTCAAGGGTTAGATAGTTATAGAGTATACCATGCTTGTCTTCTCACAATGTTTCAAGGGTTAGATAGTTATAGAGTATACCATGCTTGTCTTCTCACAATGTTTCAAGGGTTAGATAGTTATAGAGTATACCATGCTTGTCTCCTCACAGTGTTTCAAGGGTTAGATAGTTATAGAGTATACCATGCTTGTCTTCTCACAATGTTTCAAGGGTTAGATAGTTATAGAGTATACCATGCTTGTCTCCTCACAGTGTTTGAAGGGTTAGATAGTTATAGAGTATACCATGCTTGTCTTCTCACAATGTTTCAAGGGTTAGATAGTTATAGAGTATACCATGCTTGTCTTCTCACAATGTTTCAAGGGTTAGATAGTTATAGAGTATACCATGCTTGTCTCCTCACAGTGTTTGAAGGGTTAGATAGTTATAGAGTATACCATGCTTGTCTTCTCACAATGTTTCAAAGGGTTAGATAGTTATAGAGTATACCATGCTTGTCTCCTCACAGTGTTTCAAGGGTTAGATAGTTATAGAGTATACCATGCTTGTCTTCTCACAATGTTTCAAGGGCTGGATAGTTATAGAGTATACCATGCTTGTCTTCTCACAATGTTTCAAGGGCTGGATAGTTATAGAGTATACCATGCTTGTCTTCTCACAATGTTTCAAGGGTTAGATAGTTATAGAGTATACCATGCTTGTCTCCTCACAATGTTTCAAGGGTTAGATAGTTATAGAGTATACCATGCTTGTCTTCTCACAATGTTTCAAGGGCTGGATAGTTATAGAGTATACCATGCTTGTCTTCTCACAGTGTTTGAAGGGTTAGATAGTTATAGAGTATACCATGCTTGTCTTCTCACAATGTTTCAAGGGTTAGGATAGTTATAGAGTATACCATGCTTGTCTTCTCACAATGTTTCAAGGGTTAGATAGTTAAAGAGTATGCCATGCTTGTCTCCTCACAATGTTTGAAGGGTTAGATAGTTATAGAGTATACCATGCTTGTCTTCACAGTGTTTCAAGGGTTAGATAGTTATAGAGTATACCATACTTGTTTCCTCACAGTGTTTCAAGGGTTAGATAGTTATAGAGTATACCATGCTTGTCTTCTCACAATGTTTGAAGGGTTAGATAGTTATAGAGTATACCATGCTTGTCTTCTCACAGTGTTTCAAGGGTTAGATAGTTATAGAGTATACCATACTTGTCTTCTCACAATGTTTGAAGGGTTAGATAGTTATAGAGTATACCATGCTTGTCTTCTCACAGTGTTTCAAGGGTTAGATAGTTATAGAGTATACCATACTTGTTTCCTCACAGTGTTTCAAGGGTTAGATAGTTATAGAGTATACCATGCTTGTCTTCTCACAATGTTTGAAGGGTTAGATAGTTATAGAGTATACCATGCTTGTCTTTCTCACAGTGTTTCAAGGGTTAGATAGTTATAGAGTATACCATACTTGTTTCCTCACAGTGTTTCAAGGGTTAGATAGTTATAGAGTATACCATGCTTGTCTTCTCACAATGTTTGAAGGGTTAGATAGTTATAGAGTATACCATGCTTGTCTTCTCACAGTGTTTCAAGGGTTAGATAGTTATAGAGTATACCATGCTTGTTTCCTCACAATGTTTCAAGGGCTGGATAGTTATAGAGTATACCATGCTTGTCTTCTCACAATGTTTCAAGGGTTAGATAGTTATAGAGTATACCATGCTTGTTTCCTCACAATGTTTCAAGGGTTGGATAGTTATAGAGTATACCATGCTTGTCTCCTCACTGTGTTTCAAGGGTTAGATAGTTATAGAGTATACCATGCTTGTCTTCTCACAGTGTTTCAAGGGTTAGATAGTTATAGAGTATACCATGCTTGTCTTCTCACAATGTTTCAAGGGCTGGATAGTTATAGAGTATACCATGCTTGTCTTCTCACAATGTTTCAAGGGTTAGATAGTTATAGAGTATACCATGCTTGTCTTCTCACAATGTTTCAAGGGTTAGATAGTTATAGAGTATACCATGCTTGTCTCCTCACAGTGTTTGAAGGGTTAGATAGTTATAGAGTATACCATGCTTGTCTTCTCACAATGTTTCAAGGGTTAGATAGTTATAGAGTATACCATGCTTGTCTCCTCACAGTGTTTGAAGGGTTAGATAGTTATAGAGTATACCATGCTTGTCTTCTCACAATGTTTCAAGGGTTAGATAGTTATAGAGTATACCATGCTTGTCTTCTCACAATGTTTCAAGGGTTAGATAGTTATAGAGTATACCATGCTTGTCTCCTCACAGTGTTTGAAGGGTTAGATAGTTATAGAGTATACCATGCTTGTCTTCTCACAATGTTTCAAGGGTTAGATAGTTATAGAGTATACCATGCTTGTCTCCTCACAGTGTTTCAAGGGTTAGATAGTTATAGAGTATACCATGCTTGTCTTCTCACAATGTTTCAAGGGCTGGATAGTTATAGAGTATACCATGCTTGTCTTCTCACAATGTTTCAAGGGCTGGATAGTTATAGAGTATACCATGCTTGTCTTCTCACAATGTTTCAAGGGTTAGATAGTTATAGAGTATACCATGCTTGTCTCCTCACAATGTTTCAAGGGTTAGATAGTTATAGAGTATACCATGCTTGTCTTCTCACAATGTTTCAAGGGCTGGATAGTTATAGAGTATACCATGCTTGTCTTCTCACAGTGTTTGAAGGGTTAGATAGTTATAGAGTATACCATGCTTGTCTTCTCACAATGTTTCAAGGGCTGGATAGTTATAGAGTATACCATGCTTGTCTTCTCACAATGTTTCAAGGGTTAGATAGTTATAGAGTATACCATGCTTGTCTCCTCACAATGTTTGAAGGGTTAGATAGTTATAGAGTATACCATGCTTGTCTTCTCACAGTGTTTCAAGGGTTAGATAGTTATAGAGTATACCATACTTGTTTCCTCACAGTGTTTCAAGGGTTAGATAGTTATAGAGTATACCATGCTTGTCTTCTCACAATGTTTCAAGGGTTAGATAGTTATAGAGTATACCATGCTTGTCTTCTCACAGTGTTTCAAGGGTTAGATAGTTATAGAGTATACCATACTTGTCTTCTCACAATGTTTGAAGGGTTAGATAGTTATAGAGTATACCATGCTTGTCTTCTCACAGTGTTTCAAGGGTTAGATAGTTATAGAGTATACCATACTTGTTTCCTCACAGTGTTTCAAGGGTTAGATAGTTATAGAGTATACCATGCTTGTCTTCTCACAATGTTTGAAGGGTTAGATAGTTATAGAGTATACCATGCTTGTCTTCTCACAGTGTTTCAAGGGTTAGATAGTTATAGAGTATACCATACTTGTTTCCTCACAGTGTTTCAAGGGTTAGATAGTTATAGAGTATACCATGCTTGTCTTCTCACAATGTTTGAAGGGTTAGATAGTTATAGAGTATACCATGCTTGTCTTCTCACAGTGTTTCAAGGGTTAGATAGTTATAGAGTATACCATACTTGTTTCCTCACAGTGTTTCAAGGGTTAGATAGTTATAGAGTATACCATGCTTGTCTTCTCACAGTGTTTCAAGGGTTAGATAGTTATAGAGTATACCATACTTGTTTCC